GAGACAGGCCTGGCGATCTGCTTCCAAAAGGTCATGGCCTGGAAAACTCTGCTCTGCGCACATGGGATCACTGTGAATCAGATTGACTCGACAGCACTAAAGACAGCAGCAGCCCTCACAGAAGCAGATAGCCAGCCCTTTCTTCCTTGCACAGCGGAGTGGATTCAGTCAGCCAACCTTTTGGCTAGTCATTGAATGCATAATCATTTGTGCCGTGCCATCCAGGGACTTCTTTGGAGGCTAGAAGTCTGAAATTAAGGTGTTAGCAAGACCTTGTTGTCACTGAAGACTCTAGGGGATGGTCCTCCCTTGTCTCTTGTACCTTCTGGTGGCTCCAGGGGTTCCCTGGCTTGTGGTTACATCACTCCAGTCTCTGCCTGTGTCTTCACGTGGCCTTCTCCTCTGTGTCTGTGTCTTCTGTTTTTATTATGATACTACTCAGATGGCATTAGGACCCCCTACTTCATTATGAGGAGCTATGGTAGCATAGTGCATAAGGCACTTGACTGCTAACCAGAAGGCTGGCAGATCAAACCCACCAGCCACTCCTCAGAAGAAAGACTGGGCGATCTACTTCAGTAGTGATACTGCCTCGACAACCCAAGGAGGGGTCTGTATGAGTTGAGGCCGACTCAATGACATATAACAACAACAACAACTTCATTTTGACCCTGTGCTGTTTCCAAACAAGGTTCTCTTCACAGGTACCAGGGGTGAGGACTTGAACAGATCTTTTCAGGGGCACAGCTCAGTCTGTAAGAGCCCCCTAGCAGTCCTGGCAGGAAGTGGCAGAAGCTGCAGAGCAGGACATGGTGAGGGGTCAGGAGGAACGCAGTGTGGGCCCAGCTTTTCCACCCTGGTCCTCCCTGCTGAGGGCCTCCGGCAGCCAGCCCACCTGCTCATCACCTTTGCACGGAGCAGAAATCCTGGCGTAGGGGTGGAGGACCCAGGAAGCAAGGTAAGCACAAGTTTACATGTGCTTACTTACTAATCTGTAGCAAACAGTTTACTGTTCACTGCAGATTAGTTAAGTAAGCACCCATACACTCATGCTTAGTCTTTCTGGGTCCTCCATCGCTGTCAGGAATTTTAAATTTGAAAAGAGGCTTTGATTCTGTAGGAAGGTGCAATAGGGTTGGAGAAAAACAGATGCCAGCCATACCTAGAAACAGTATCTTTTTTTCTTTTTTATTATGATTTGGGTGAAAGTTGACAGAGAAAATTCACTTTCCATACTAGCAGCTCACATACACTTTGTCTCATGACATTGACTACAATTTACCACAAAGCAACAGCTCCCCTCCCACTTCCTCCCCATAGTTACCTCTCCCCTGTGTCCTTCCCTCTCATGCACTCCTGCCCCCTGAGCTGTCTCCTTGTGCATATAAAACCCTTCTATTCTCCCATGATTGATCTCTGTAAGAAGTATACGTACCTAATGTAAATGTTCAGCTCATATGCCTGTTTTGTTTTTTTTTTTTTTGGCTGGAAGCTACAGGAAAGGATTCAGTTACAGACCTGGAGGGAAGCTAGGGGCCATAGCCTCAGTGGTTCCATCAGGCTCTGTTGGACCTGCAAACCTGATCCCTAGTCCCCTACACACACCCTTTTTTTTTTTTAATGATTTTGAGTTTTGTTCCACATTGTAGAAGCAGAATCTTTGATGTGATGAAAAAATGTGAAATGGTTCACTACCGATTACTAAGTAAACACAAGGAAGCCTGTGCTTTAGCTTGCTTATTGAATAATCTGCCCCTGCCCTGGTGGCATAGTATTTAAGCACTTGGCTGCTAACTAAAAGGTTGACAGTTTGAACCCATTAACCGCTCTGTGGAAGGAAGATGTGGCTGTCTGATTCTATAGAGATGACAGCCTTGGAAACCCTGTGGGGCAGTTCTACTCTGTCCTCTAGGGGCGCTGTGAGTCAGAATCAACTCCAGGGCGGTGGGTGTGGTTTGGGCTTTGCCTCAGTGAAGATTGTCAGCCTTGGAAACCCTGTGGGGCAGTTTTACTCTGTCCTCTAGGGGCGCTGTGAGTTGGAATAGACTCCACGGCAGTGGGTTTGGTTTGGGCTTTGTTTAGTAAAGATTAAGGAGCTCTGGTGGTGTAGTGGATAAGATATTTGGCTTCTAACCAGGTCAGGAGTTCAAACCCACCAGCTGCTTTGCAGAAAAAAGATGGGGCAATCTACTTCTGTAAAGATTACAGCCTCAGAAACCTGATGAGGGTCTCTATGAATTGGGATTGACTTGATGGCGGTGCGTTTGGTTTGGTTTTTTGATTAGTAAAGATTACAGCCTTGGAAACTCTGTGGGGCAGTTCTACTCTGTCCCCTAGGGGCACTGTGAGTTGGAGTTGTAATCCACTTGACGGTAGTGGGTTTTGTACTCTGGGTGGGGGGTGAGGGTTTGCACTGACTTGTTTTTGTTTGAGCAGAGAAGAGGCCAGACCATAGCTGGGTTCTGGAGGGAAGTCGTGGGGTTGGAGTGAGGACCCTCTGCTGCCCATGGGGCAGGATGCTTACTCTCTGACAGACTGGATGGTCTCCTTAGCTTTTGTTCTTTTCTCCCTGCAGAGGTTCATCTGAGATAGAGGAAGCATGTGAAGTCAATACCAGAGCCGCAAACAATGTTCAAAATGGCCAAAAACCGGAGCAGTAGGTGATAGGCCACGTGCCTCAGCTAGAGAGCTGCCTCACTCCTGCTTCTCTTTGCCCTTGGCTCCCAGTCCTGAAGGCCCAGCCAGGAGGGCTGCCTAGCGTTCCCTCTCTTTTCATGCCATCTGCTGCCATCTCTGGCTGGCTGCATGGTGGTCGTTTGATGTCCACTGGGTGGGTTTACACCTTGGTCATGGGATTGGAGACAGGCTGTGAAGCCGGGAGGTAAATGGATTATTGACTCCAGAGCCTCGTGCATTGGTGTGCAAGTTGAAGCTCTTTGATGGCTCTGTCCCTAAATCAAGATCTAAGATGTCACTGAAACTGTCACCTGGCTTCTTTCAGAGTCTGAGTTCTAGGCTGGGAAGAGAGTGGCAGGGAGCAATTTCAAGCAGTAATGTTCTTGGTTTCTCTTATAGGGAGCCCCACCAAGAAGTCTTGGAGGGTGGTTCTTCTTGTTGGGGGCCGGTGAGCTGATTCCTACTCATAGTGACCCCATGTGATGGTGTAGAGCTGCCCCATAGGGTTTCCTAGGCTGTCTTCTTGATGGAAACACATCCCCAGGTCTTTCTACTGAGCAGCTGCTGGCTGAGTTCAAACTGCTGACCTTTTGGTTAGCAGCCAAGTGTTTAACTGTTGCACCACCAGAGCACCTTAGGGTCACTCTGAGTGGAATCGACTTGATGGCACATGACCTGCTTGGAGGGAGGGCCAGATACAAGGCAGCTTTCTGGAGGAGAGATTAAAATTATAATGATCATATTAAATCCACCTGCCATTTCTGCACACTTTGCTGAGCTCCAGGCCCTCATCACTTATTGAATTATGACGGCAATCCTATGAGAAGAGGTACCATTACTACCACGTTTAATAGATTTGGAAACTGAGGCTCGGCTGAGCCCCTCGCCCAAGGTGTCACACCTACTGAGTGAGAGGCCCAGGATTCAGAAGCTGGGCTGTGACTCCAGAGCCCGGGCACTTCACCTGGCCATGAGTTGCTTCACTCGGCTTTGTGTCACAGCTCCAACTGACTGTGTGGCCTGGGAAGCCACTTGACCTCTCCTTATCTGCTTCCTCCTCAGTGTTATTGTCGTTGTTATTGTTAGGTGCCATTGAGTCATCTCCGACTCGTAGTGACCCCGTGTACAACAGAACAAAACACTGCCCAGTCCTGCAACAGCCTCACAATCCTTGCCATACTTGAGCCCATTGCTGCAGCCACTGTGTCAGTCCATCTCGTTGAGGGGCATGCCCTTCTTCATTGACCCTCCACTTTACCAAGAATGATATCCTTCTCCAGGGAATGGTCCCTTCTGACAAAATGACCAAAGAAGGAGAGACAATGTCTGGCTATTCTTGCTTCTAAGAAGCATTCTGGCTGCACTTCTTCCAGGACAGATCTGTTCATTTTTCTGGCAGTCCATGGTATTTTCAGTATATTTCACCAACACCACAACTCAAACACATCAGTCTTCCTTATTCGTTGTCCAGCTCTCACATGCGTACACAGTACAATGGAGAAAATAACAGCCTGACCCCTCAGGCCAGGGCATAGATCCGTGGCCTCAGTGCGGAGGGAGTGGCGGTGCCTGTGAGCCTCCCTGACTCCTGTTAGCCATCCTTGTTGTGTGTTGTTGTTGTTTCTGACTGATGATGACCCTTGTGACAGTGGAACTGCTCCACAGGGTTTTCCTGCTGTGACCTTTTGAAAGCAGATCACAAGGCTTGTCTTCTGAGGTGCCTGTGTGGGTTTGAACCACTAACCTTGCAGCTGATAGCCGAGCACTGAGTTGTTGATGCCAGGCCTCGCCTGTTAGCTGTACTGGGCAGCGGAGCTCCTGAGGACTCTGAAGGGTGCCTAATGCAAGTTGCCCAGCCTTTCCTTCTGTGTGCTCTCACTGCAGTGGGGACAGGCACATCAAGGACATGAGTGCCATGTCTGGGCATCTGGCACCCACAGCAATAACCTGAAGGAGGGCCTCCTGGGAGGTGTGGCTGCTGGGACACGCCTGGTGTCTGTCGGCAGGTGGTGTGTTTAATTGAATTGCCCCTTTCTTCCCTCACCCACTCTCTTTGCTCGCCATCCCCACTGCTCGCCTACAGTGCTGTCTGGTGGGGGCTCAGAACTCTGGTTCGAGGCTCCCCTTGGGAGGATTGCCATGGTCAGGAGGGGAGGCCTTGGGTCAGTACCCTGTGTGCGTCTCAACTTTGTCTGCTTTCTTGGAGCCGTAGGGCTTCCCCACTGGTATTGGGGTGCAGGGTGCATTTGGACCAAGGGCCTGGTGTGTCCAGACCTGTACTAGAGGCCCCCTGTCCCCAAGCCCACACCCCCATGTCTCCCCAGGCCATTGTCCACTATGAACAGTCCACAGACTACTACAAAGGTGAGGAGTCCAACAGGTAACCAGGCCAGTGGCTTCCATGTCTCATCTGCCCTGAGTTCTCGGAGGCCAAGGGGCCTGCCACCACCCACCCTCTCTCCTCCCTTCCTTGCTCAGCCAGCAAGGGTCTGCTGAAGGTGGCCGGCTATGCCGCACAGCTGGAGCAGTACCAGAAGGCTGTGGACATCCACGAGCAGGTCGGGCCCTCCCCATGTCCATACCTCCCTATCGGCCCCCTCACCATCACCTTGTACTCAGCCTGGCTGTACGCCACCTCAACCCACCACCCCAGGAGGCACACACACATGCTTGTGCATGCACATGCAGCATCTCTCTTGCCCATGTCACAAATGCTTCCTGGGCAGTCTCTAGTGGGGCAGACAGACAGGAACTAGAGTTGGGGCCAGAGGAAGGATGGCCAAGGCCCACAGTGGCTGTGGGCAGGGATGGGGAGCAGGGTCCTTTGTCTGCAGGGAGGAGGGAGTATCACATGGGTGCCCAGGCTCCCCTTGCTGTGTGGGGGTCATTGGGCAGGACCAGGCTGCCCTGGCAGCTGGCCTTGGAGGAGAGGGGTTGGGCACCGCCTCATGTGTTCCCACTACTGCTGCCTCCCTGCCCACTGAAGTGCCAGCTTCCTGAGGCCCTGACAGCAGCCGCCTTCACCCACGCTCAGATGCCACAGACAGCCGACAGACACCTGGCATCAGCCTGTGCAGCACAGCCTTGTCTTGCCTTGCCCTCCGTCTCTCCGCTCTCAGTCACAGACTTGCCAGTTCTGACTTCCCAGAGCAAGGTCCCAAGGCCCTAGGCAAATGGGTCTCCCCTGGGCGTGGGCCTGCCCCTAGCAGGCCCCCAAGTGCCTGGCAGACGATCCTGCCCCTTGGTTGCCCACCCCGAGCTCACGGTGTAACTTCCACGTGGCCACAGGTGGGGACCAATGCCATGGACAGCCCCCTCCGCAAGTACAGTGCCAAGGACTACTTCTTCAAGGCCGCCCTCTGCCACTTCTGCATCGACATGCTCAATGCCAAAGTGAGCTCAGCCTTCCCCTGATGCCAGCCATGGTCTCCCAGGGATGCCACATCTGTGGCCCTGGGCCACATGGACACAGGCCACGTCACCTGGGCCCTTCGCAGAGGGGTTGTCTCTCATGACTTCCTGTCAGTGTTTGGTTGGGAAATGTACATTCTCATGTGGCACGTTTTTGCTCTCCTGTCACCTGCCTGACACCAGGGCATTTGAGTTTTCAGCTCCTGGCTGGCTGGTGCCAGCCTCAGAGCTAGCCACTTCTCTCTGGAGGTGTGTGTTCTGGATCCTTACTGCACCCCATGAAGTAGGCATGGTATCACCCCAGCTTACAATTGGAGACACAGGCCGAGGTGAGAGGCCCTGGTCAGGGTTCCCTGCTAGCAAACAGAGCTTTCCACCCCCAACCGCATTACAGCCACAGCCGCATAGCCCACTGGTTTGCAGGGCTTCTTGTCCGTGGAGGCAGTAGTGCTAGGGAAGAGGGCATGGCCAAGGGGAAAGAATTAGTGGATGGAAGGCTGGGCAATCTACTTCCATAAAGATCTACTGCCTCAGAAACCCAATGGGGGTCACTATGAGTCAGAATCGACTCAATGGCAGTGAGTTTAACTTTGCTTTTTGCTGCATCTGTAGTGATCCTATGTTTGTCAGTGCAGAACTGTTTTCTATTGGATTTTCCATGTCTAATTTTTTTGGAAATAGTTTGCTCAGCATTTCTACCCCATTGCCTCTCGTGGTGTTGACTGCGAAAGTTCCAGTTAGCTTCCACTGGGAGTGTTTTCTTTGTTTCCTTAAGGCTGGGCTGTGCAGGTTCAGTTGGCCATGCACCAGTCATCTGTGTCCACTGTGTGCAATCTCTTCTTCCGTTTGGTGCTGGATCCATGTTTTCAGCTTTGCCTTTGATACTCAGGGTTCCAAAATTGTCATCTGTATTCTATTCCTTTGTTTTCTCAGGTATTTGTTGAAAGAGGGACGTTAGGAGGTATCTGAGTACTCTGCCATTTGCTTGATCCCTGGTTTCCTGGTTGAGTGCTCTTCCCATAGGATGTAGGACCACACAGGAAGGTTTGATAGCCTCCCAGTGATGACAGCTTGGTGCTTAGGTCTGGATCACAAAGATGCATGTTGTTGTTGTTATGTGCCGTGGAGTCAGACCTGGGACTCATAGCAACCCCTTCTTGGGTTTCCAAGACAGCATCACTACGGAAGTAGATTGTCCAACCTTCCTTCCAAGGAGTGGTTGGTGGTTTGAACCGCCAGCCTTTTGGTTAGCAGTCAGCAGAGATGCATAGGACTGGGATATGCTTTACAAGAGGACAGACTGTCTCAGAGGTGTGGAGGCAAGAGCAAATGTCAGTGTGGGGAGATGCTGTACATGAAAACAATTAGGCTGAAGAGTCAGTCTACAAACTTCAACATAGCAGTGTTTTACAGATCTTGAGTACCACCCTGCCGTAGTTCCCACCCTCTTCAAAGATTCTAACATTCTCTTCTAACCTCCTTCTACACCAAGTGCAGGCACCACCAGACTTCTGAGTCTTGATTTTTTCCACTGCTCCAGTGTCTCTTAAGGATATCCAAGGGTCACTCCATAGTACTTATTGAAAGTACTATGGGGAATCTTGGGCTTCAGTTCTAGAGATTGTGATTTACTGAGTCTGCATGATCCACTGTTTAGTTTTATTTACAGGTATGAAGTCATTTATTGATGATTTGGTGGTATAGTGGTTCAGTCATTTGGCTATTACCAAAAGATCAGTGGTTCAATGTCACCAGCTGCTCTGTGGGAAAAAGATGAGGCAGTCTGTTTCTGTAAAGATTTATAGCCTTGGAAACCCAATGGAGGTTTCTGTGAGTAGGAATTGACTCAATGGCAGTGATTTTGGTTTTTCTGTCTAGTTAGTGCTTTACCCTCCCTTCCCCATCTACCTCCGATAACCTTTAAAGAATATTACTTTAAACGTTTTCCTGACTTTTTACAATAGTGGTATCATACATTATTTATACTTTTGTGATTGACTAACTTTATTCAGCATAGTAGCCTCTGAATTCATCCATGTTATGAGATGTTTCACAGATTGATCATTGTTCTTCAATGTTGCATAGTATTCCACAAAGTGTGTCTGTATCATATTTAGTTGATCCATTCCTCCCTTGTTTCTATCTTTTTGCTATTGTGAATAGTGCGGTGATGAATGTGGATGTGCATATATCTGTTTGTGTCACACCCCTTATTTATCAAGGTAGATACCTTGTAGGGGACTGCAGGATCAAATGACATTTCTATTTCCAACTTTTTAAGGACATGTCATACCGTTTTCCACCGTGGTTGCACCATTCTGTAGTCCCGCCAGCAGCGTATGAGGGTTCCGATCTCTCCACCCCCACACCAGCATTTATTATTTTCTGATATTTTGAACTTTCCTGCTAGTGCTGGGGTGAGATGATATCCCATTGCTGTTTGATTTGCGTGAGCATTTGTTTATGTGTTTGTTAGCTACTTGAATTCTTCTTTGGTGAATCGGATTATTTGTGTTATTGCTCTTGAGTTGTTGAGGTTTTCTATAAATTTTAGACCTGAGCACCTTGTCTGATACTTTTCCTTGCCAATTTTTTTTTCCTGGTCTGTGGTTTCTTTTGGTGAAATCTTTAAATGATGGATCGGTGTGTAATTTTCAGGCATTCCCAGTCATCTATTTTGTCTTCTGGTGTTTGTGCATTTTTAGTTATATTTGATAATGTGTTTATGCTCTGCCATAGGGCCCTCAAGTTTGTCCCCATTTTTTCTTTAATGGTCTTTATTGTTTTTGATTTTATGTTCCGGTCTTTGATTCAACTGGAGTTCATTTTTGTATAAGGTATGAGATATGGGTCCTGTTTCATTTGTATGCAAATACATATTGAGTTTTGCCAGTGTCTGTGATTAAAGAGACTATCTCTTCCCCATGTAATGACTTTTTTGGCCCGTTGTCAAAGATCAGCTGTACATACATGGATGCAATTATTTCTGGGTTCTCAATTCTGTTCCACTGGCTTATGTGTCTGTCGTTGTTGCTGTTTGCCATTGAGTCGGACCCAACTCATAGCGACCCCTCCTTGGGTTTCCAAGGTGGTATCATTACAGAAGTAGATTGCCCAACCTTCCTTCCGAGGAGTGACTGGTGGGTTTGAACTGCCAGCCTTCTGGTTAGCAGTCAAATACCAGTACTTATTTTGAGATCTGGGGAATTTGAGGCCTCTAGCATTCTTCTTTAGTAGTGCTTGTCTGGAACCCTGACATAAGGCAGATGCTTTCAGTCTCTCCTTGTTGAGAATAATGTTGGCCATTGGCTTGATCTATATGCTCTTAATTATATGGAGGAATTTTCCTTCTCTTCCTATTTTGTTTAGCATTTTCATCAGGAATGGAAGTTGGATTTTGTCCAATGCCTTTTCTGTGTCATTTGATATGATCATGTGGTTCTTTTCTATTGTTTTACTTATGTGTGGATTACCTTGATTGTATTTATGATGTGGAACCATGCTTGCCTCTGTGGTATGAATCTCACTTGGTTATGATGTATTTTGTTGTTGTTGTTGTTGTTGGGGTCTATTGGCTAGGGTATTGTTGAGAATTTTTGCACCTGTACTCATAAGGGGTATTTATATATAATTGTCTTTCTAGTGGTGTCTGTGCTTGGTTTGGGTATCAGGGTTCTGTTTGCTACATAGTATAAATTTGGGAGTAGGCCATCCTTTTCTATGCTCTGGAATAATTGGCATACAATTGCTATCAGCTCTTGTCTTAATGTTTGGTAGAATTCATCAGTGAAGCCATCTGGGCCAGGACTTTTTCTGTTGATAGTGTTGTTATAAATGCTTCAATTTCTGATTTTGTTTTGGGTCTATTCAAATTTTGTACCTCAGTCTGTGTTAGTTTAGGTAAG